AAATGGTGTACACTCTTATATACGATTGAAGCTCTTCTTTGAGGCAGAATGAATTATTCCATTGAATTCTACACACTTTTAGATGTAGGAAATAGATTTACAATTTAAAAAAATGATTAAAATTGAGCCGGTAAAAATTAATTAAAAAAACATCAAAAAAAAACCTGTCCCACGCAGTATTCATTACAAATCTTTGGTTTTTATGCAGAAAGACTTTTACCATCATTTTAAAGCCGTCCAATGGATGATTTTGATTGCAGTGAAAAGAAAAAAAAGAAGTGAAGAGGGCCAGAGTTGAACCCAAGTCCTCATGGCTGTGCTATTGCACACCCACAAGGCTTCTCCTCCCCAACTGCACTATGCAGAATTGTTCTTTCAGATGTCACCAAATCCACATTCATACACCAAGTTTGCACTTTGGAGCAAGCCATTTCACACCTCTTCTGATGATCAAGTGCATTTTTGGATCTTTTTTTGACAATCACTACACCTGCACCTTTGGAACGTTTTTCGACAATCGACCACACTTTTGGATTGTTTTTCGACCATCGACCGCATTTACAGAGTGTTTTTCGACCATCGACCGAACTTTTGAAGCTTTTTTCGACCATCGACCACCGGCTCCAATCAGGAATTGTAACTCAAAGTGTCCAATGGACACACTGAAAACCGTCATCCATCGGACACTCTTGGTTGGAGAGTGTCCGATGGACAATAGATCATAGCGTCCATCGGACGCTTCATATTTGGCCAGTGTCACTTGGATTCTTTTGGAAGCATCCAAGTGATGCTGGCTCGCCAGAGCATCCCTCGGACGCTCTGATCGCATCCGTTGGATGCTCTCCTCAGGAAAGCGTACAGCGGATGGGGCCAGTTTCAAAAAACTCGCCCCGTGGTGTAATCATACCTGCTTGGCTGTTAAGCCGGTGTTTCTCCTCTGGTTCGATCCGGATGCGCGGTCTTTGGTTTTGATTGGAGATCTGGGTTCCCATTTGTTGGAGCAGGTTGAAGCAGGACATGGTAGAAAATGTGTGCAGGTCCTTCCTAACCTTTCCAATCATCATCTGAGCGACCATGGCTTAATGCCGGTGGACTGGAACAGGTTGCAGCCAAGCTTATGTAAGCATGAAAGTCCCGGTTTGACTTCCCAGGCCAAACCACGGCCGGGCCGGAACCCATGCCTATCTCAAGGAAAGCACATTTTCTTACCAAAGTCCGCATCCAACACTGTAGCTCACTATTTTCTCTGCAAAGAATCGTGATTCCAAGATCCTCATATTTTCATCTTGACACCAAATGCTGAATTACTTACAAAAAAAATCAAGAGATCTGCACTCTACTTGCAAAAAATTACCAGAATGAACCCCCTCCCCCCACTATATTTCAACTCTTACTTTGACAATATTTTTAACCCTCTTTTTTCACTCCATCTTGTAGGAAAAAATTTCAGATTATCAGTTTTGGGAAGAAAAAATTCTTAAATGTGTTTGTGGTGTGCACCATCAAGAATGCCAAGTTCTGGAAAAGAGTCTGATGAGTTGAAACAAGGTCTACTTCTGAAGGGGTTTTTTTTTCAACACTCTCCTTCCCAAAAAATTTGAAACACTTCCAAAATTATGACAAAACATTGAAGAAACCACAAACTTATCTCAAGTCTCAGGCTGCGGGGGGCGCATCTGGCAGTGTAGCGCTGGCCAGGAGGTTCCCAAAGGGAACTCCTCGCAGGGGAGACTTGAGCCATAGGTCGGCACACTTGCGTGCCAAGAATAAGGCGTTTTGGTGGGAGCAACTTTCATGTTGCAACCACATGAGCTCCTCCCAACCCTTTTGAGGTTTGGTTGGATTTTATTGACGGGAGGCATGACCCTGTCAATCCAACCAAAACTCAGAAGTGAGACAGCTCTGAGCATGTTGTGAATGAATAGACTGAAAGGTTGTATTTCATAAGTGCCGGTCAAATAAATACAAGATTTGAAAAGAAATAGAAAAAGGAATGATCATCACCTGAAAGCAGTAGATGACAAATGAAAAGGACAACAGTACACTATGGTGCTATAACAACAAGAGTATGACTAAGAGAGATGAAGAACAAAGAACAGTTTCGAGGAACAGTAGATGGGCGAGTTGTTGAATAGAAGGGATTTTGTCCAGACAAGAGTTTGTCGAAAGGAAAGATTTGTCGAGACAAGGATCAAAACAGGAAGATGATGTCAATCCAAAAAGATGACGGAAGAGATGATAACGATGTAGGACAAAGAGTGATAATTTGTCCTATGAAAGAGAACGATAGACTAGGATCTCAAAATAAGAAGATGGAGAAAATGTTGTGAGGAACAGTTTGATGTAGAAGAGATCCTGAGGAAGATAGATAACCGAGAGAGGAAAGAGGGATGATAAGGACAAAGAGAAAAGGATTGTGCAAGACAATGACCAAACATGAGGACTTGAGGGCTTGAGCGCAGTGATGTCATCGTAAACGCTCAAGCCTGATGACATCACTTTTTCGATATTGAGGGACAATGAAAGTTTAGAGACCAGGTGAGTTTAGACAGGGGGCTTAAACATCAACACATGTCTACAGGAATTATTCTAAGATATGAGTCTCAAGTTTGTCCTGGACAAGCTTGGTCATTTCTCAAACTTTGTGATGTCTGAAACATTATGTACATAGTGATCACACTTTGTTATAGCATCTTTCCATTTTGCTTAGTAATTAAAAAATTGGGAGCTGAAAAAGACAAACAAACAGTGATGCAATCTAACATACAGCCGGTAACTCGGTTTGAGAATTCATCAATTTGAAAAAAAGATTGAAAGAAAATGAGAAGGGTCAAAGAAAAATGGACAAGACAGGAACATGTACAAGAGGCAGGCCTTGGATGCCTCCAAAGCAAATTTAATACACATCATCTAATGAGTGCGTACTGAGATTGTAACTTGAAAAATTGGTTTCAGCCCTAAAACTCAAATCTTGGCACGCAGGACTTGCAACCTAGGGCATAGGCCTCCACTGGTGTGGACAGCTCCGCTGCTTGCTACCACTCCCACTGTTGTGGTAAATAATACTGTGTTTTTACACAGAAAAATATAAAAATTTATTATTATCTCTTTATATATTATATATATGGGAAACATAACATCAGAAATGGATTTCTTGGGTAAAATTAACCCTAGTCACTCACTACAACTGACCCCATATCTCTCATAGTTTAGAAGTTACGCGGATTTCAACCTGTCACGGGGTGTCTTTTGGGTCCTTTACTCTAAGTATGGCTCATTTTGAATGCTGGATGCATATTGAATATTGAATTCCTTTGTGTTGTATTGAATTCCTTTATTGGTACATAGTGCATATTGAATTCCTTTGTAGACGCACATGCATTCCTTTGTAGAAGGACCTTGTAGGCTAGCCAAATTCCCTCAAGGCAGTGCTCTCACCAGCCAATTTCCCTCACCTGCATGTATTAGACCAGCTAAATTCCCTCATTGGATCTTCAAGCCAGCTAAAATGCCTCAAAAGCCTGTACCCTGGGGCTAAAATCCCTCACATTTGTCTATATAAGGGAGGCCTCTGCCTGCCAGTTGTTCCCTCCATCATCCCACCAGAGGACCAGATCATCTCAACCCACATTACAGATTATATACAAGTGACAGCCACAACAATACATTATATTGAAATACAAACATAACACTTTCATCATCATAACCAGTGCCAAGTGCCCATAACCTGGCTTCACATACCATTAC